GTACAGCACAATAAGATATTTTGAGAGAAAGACCACATTCATATTAACTTTTATTACAGTATATTGTTATAATTCTACTTTATTAATTATTGCTATTAACCTCTTACTGTGTCTAACTTATAAGTTAAACTTTATCATTGGTATGCATGTGTAGGAAAAAAACATAGCATATACAGAGTTCGGCACTATCTGCAGTTTCAGGCATCTACTAGGGGGTCTGGGAACATATACCCCGCAGATAAGGGAGGATTACTTACTGTATGTACTGTCAACTGATGTCACTGGTGCCAACTCAGTGCCAACAGGAATCCCCAGTTTTGGGTGCACTGAAGAAGGAAACTTGATTCAGTGCAAAACAGCTCAGTTGTGATATAGCACAGCTGTGAAAACAGCACAGCTGTGAGGCAGTCCTGGGGCCAGCCCCTCCCGGGCAGACATTTGTACTCTGCTCCTTGTTGGTCTGGTCTCCTCTGCTCTGGCCCACACTGCTCTGCTCTGCTCTGCTCTCTGCTCCGCTCTCTGCTCCGCTCCAATGAGACATCTTCCATGTTTCAGCTCAGCTGGGGGAAACGCAGTCTTCCATGTTCAATGGAAAGGGAAAGAGCACTCTCAGAGCCAGAGAGGACATGGCTTATTTGGACAGAAGTCCCTGCCCCTGGTCCCTGATTGGTCTGTCCTCATGCAAATGAGGCCTCCAAATCCTTGCAGTTTGATTGGTCCAAAAGGCACTTTCCTGATTGGTCAAATAGAGCCATTCTGGTTGGTCAGAGCTACATAGCTCCAATTGGATGGGAAAAACCTCAATCCTATTGGATGAAATAGGATTCCAGGAACTCCTTTAAAGGCCGGGCTCAGATGGCAGAAACAGTGCCAGCAGGCAGTTCAGTGCAGAGGCAGGTAGTTCAGTGCAGACCTCTCCTTGAAGTGCAGTTTGCGCAGAAAGCCCCTGTGTAAAAGTGGCTGCTAAACTCTGTTTTGTGTTTTTTTAAATTCAAGCCCAGTGAGCAGTCAGGAGCCCTTCTTTCTCAGGGATCACATTACTTACTGACTTGAGTGTAGAACTTATGCAACTCTTATTTAAATTTGTAACTAAGCAGTATCTTTTAATTCAGATATTTGATGGATCTACCATTTTACACTAGTTTTGTTTTTGCACTTGTTCATATTTATCTACTGCTCGTTCTCAACAGCTCGTACCTTTGTGATGCTGGGCATCGCTCAGCCACTGTGATCTAATGGTGAAAATCACACATAATGCAGAAGGCTGGTCAGAGGTTTAGGAATGGTGCTGCCTCTGAAGAACTTTCACCGAAGTGAGAAACTTTTCTAATGATGTACATATTTATTTCTACGGGTTCTGAAAAAAGATAAGGTGTTATAACAGTAGTTCAGAAGCCGTCCCTGCTGTTTGGGAAGAGAGGAGCCACTGAGCTGCCAAGTTGTCTCCTCTGCACCTCAGAGCCCTCTGCCTCCTGAGGCTCTCCTGCTCTGTGATGGGGGCGACAGAACCCTCCCACCACTCCTGAGGGGTGTTCTACTTCCTCTAGAAAGCTGGACAGAAACCCCTCCCCAGGGGCCCATTAATGTGGCTAAAACTGGCTGACAGCCTGGACTTGGAAAAGACTTCCCCAAACAGTTGACAACGCAGGGGTCAGGTATCTGGCTTATGTTTGGGAAGCCGCCTACTCTCCCCCTGGGCCCAGGCCCCATCTTCTGATCAGACCCTCCACTCCCCTGCCTGGAGCGTGGAGGGACGTATATAACCCGCGGCTGCGGACCAGCTTTAGTATCTGACCTCCTGGGTTCAAATCACAGCTGGAGGTCCTCGGTCCCTCTCTGACCTATAAGGATAATGGTGGTCCCTGTTTTGTCCTCGTGAGGTGGTTATGGGGATTAAAATACAGATAAAATGCTTAGCATCATTCTGGGTAGGCCCCTAATAAGTGGTAGCTATGGGTTCTTCAGCCTCCCTCATTCGCTCCTCCGCCTCTGGCCCTCAGCAGCCAGCCACGCTGTCCTTAAACACTGTCTGCAGGAGCACACAGGCCACCACCCTGTGCGGCCTTCTGGGGGCACTCCCTTCTCAGCCATGCTTCTGAAGACCTGTCTGCAATACTGGCTGCAGTTCCACGTCCTCCCCTCACCGACTCCGCCTTCAGCTTCCATCACTCCGTCAGAACAGTATTCTTGGGGAGGCCACAGAGGGCCTGCCCGGTGCTGTGCTGTTTCCCGCCCCGCGTCCTCTCAGCAGGGCTGGTCCCAGCCAGGCTGCCTCCCGTTCCTCCGTGATACCGTTCTGTGCTTGCATGTCTCCTGCCTCCTGCCTGCAACTCGCCTTCGTGTTGGCCGTGCTCAGGGCACACACCCAGCCCTCTGCCCACTCAGACTCCCCCTCAGGGTTCTCGTCACTCCCTAGCCCTTCCCTACACCGGACAGCTCCTGAACGTATACAGCCGTACCTCAGTTTCCGAATGTAGTCTGTTCCGGGAGACCACTCGAGTTCTGAAACGTTCGAAAACCGAGGGATTCATAGCCGACAGCCAGGCCTCAGGATCTTGCCCTCAGCGGAAGCCATGCGGCATGTTCCCCTTGCAAAGCGTGTTCGAAAACCGAAGCATTTCCGTCTGTGTTTACGGCATTCGTAAACCGAAATGTTCATCAACGGAGACGTTTGAAAATCGAAGTACCACTGTATCTTTAACCCAGGCCTCTCCCTAGAACTCCCAACTTGGATATTTGAGGTCCTGTTTCATACCTCTGTTGGATTGTGCCGCAGATATGCTAAATTCACACTCCCAAACTGAGCTCTTAGTTAATCCTTCCCTCTTCACCTTCCCTTCTTTCCATCTGAGTGAATGGTATGCTCATCCATGTCTTTGCTCAAAACTTGGGATAGCCTTGATTTCCTGTCTCCCCTGTTCCACCGCTCATCAGATTCAAGGCCAGCTTCTCTTGGTATGAAAGTACTTGCAGGCACTCTTCACGCACTCCCCACTGCCATCAGGTCCCAGGCAGCGTGGGCTCCTGGCTTCCCTGCACCCATGCCAGTCCTGCGCTCGTTCAGAGCAATCTGTGAGTGTCACTGCGTTCTGGCCCTTTGTTTAAATCCTGGGGCCAGAATAATCACAGAATAAGACGCCCAACCTTACCTCGGCCTTTGGAACTGCACTGCCCTGCCACAAGTCGCCTCACCTTCGCTCTTGGGGCCTCTCTCTTCTGACCTTGCTCTTCCATCATGGCTGCTGTTCCTCTGCTAGAAAGCTCTTCCCCCTGCCCTTCACCTAGCTAAGCCCCAACCGTCTGATCACACTTAGGCCCCTCCTGTCCTTACCTCAGCCTGTCCCTTCCCTTCATTGCCTTCATCACAGTTGGGGGTGTGTATGTGAGTACACGTGCCTCCCACTGGGCCCAGAACTGCTAAGGGTACAGATCAGGTTGGTTTGTTTTCACTTGTTTGGTCTGCGCCTGGCACACTGAGTTCCATGTAGGAAGTGCTCGGTCATCTTTGAGTGAATGACCACCAGCTCCTTGCCATCAAGTATAATAAGGGGGGTGGCAGGGGACTGGCAGCTCCAAGCACTGGCGCCACAATAGAGGACAACCATAGTGTGGCCCCCAAATGTGCCAAGTGGTGTGGGGTTGGGACACGGTGGCAAGTCTTCTTTGCCAGGTGTGGGGAGGTGGGAGAAAGGGGTCCTGCAGGACTTCCCAGAAGAGTTGAAGCTCCAGATGAGAATGTGAGATCAGAAAGAGGGTCAAACGAGGACCATTCCTCTACCCCTCCCTTTCTCCTGCCCTTCTGCCTGCCCCTGTGACAGCTTTTTCTCGTCTTGTCCCAGAGTTAACCCAGGACAAGGCCTACAGCAGTGAGACTGAGGTAGAGGAAAGAGAAACCACTAGAAAGTGCTGCCCCATGTCTCCTGTCCATTTCCTGCCCTGTACCCATTCCCGGGGCCCCACGCCGGCTCCTGCAGAGAAAGAGCCCAGAGTGATGGTGAAGGGAAGACACTAAGGAGTTGTTGCGTTATGGGCAACCTTTCTGCCCCAGCGTTTGCTTTCCTTATTAAAAGCGGTGAAGGTCTGTGGCAGAACATGGGAAGCGCTGTGCTGTCTGCAATGCCCCCGGTGAAAGGGCAGGAGGCTTCAGAAGGGCTGGTCTGGAAGAAGACAGATAAGTCCCACCAGAACATAATAGGCCCTGTGGCTCAGAGTCAGTCAGATGTCCCTTCATGCCCCTTCCCAGAAGGGGAAGTAGGACCCCGGATGCACCAGGAGGAACCTCCAACTACATTTTCCTGTAGTAACTGTGCTGCACAAACTGGTTGTGGTCAGTAGAGTATCATGCTATGGATCAGCTATGGATTGAAACAGGCCATAACCACCATTTGTGAAATTGTTACTAAAAAAAATACTTTTTAACTTTCAAGCAACAGATTTATAACTACAGTTATTGAATATCTACTAGGTGTCAAGCACTGTGCTAATCACTTTACATGTGTTGTTATTGCATTTCATCCTTCTGACAACACTGAGGGAGATAGGCCCATTTTACAAATGAGTAAACTGAGGGTTAGAGGTTAAGTAACTTTCCTAAGGTCATACAGTTAGTAGGTGGTAGCTGTGGGACTCAGACCCACTTTAAACAATCATGATGCACTTTTAAGCATAACTGTATCTTAAATTAGGGACGGCATGTACCTAGATACCTCAAGGCCTTGTCCCATCTCATTTTTATCACTCAGTCTTCCATCACCACACATTTGTTTACCCTTTTTGAAAGCACTTTTTTCCTTTGAGCGTTTCTCTCATTTCCTAAGGTGAATCATATTCACATTATTTGTAAACAGATACGTGGTCAGTATTCACTGATACTATAAATGTTAACTCCCGCCATGACCGTGAGAAGATTCACAGGTCAGATTCAGTTTGCATTTTGAACTCTCCTAATCTTCTTTTTTCTATAACCCATTTCTATTTAAAATTTTATTTCCTACCGAAAGGAAGAAGATTTCTCTCCCCAAGTCAGCTGTAGTCTGCCTCTGGCTCCGACACCTTCCCAGCCTTGAAAAAGCAACGCTGCATCTTTTTGAAAAGCTCATTTCCACCGAGAGAAATTCTCTGAGAAGGGTCGAATGCTTCGTGAAAGATTCATTGCTGGTACGTGGAGGACTTTGAGGAGGGGAAAAATCCTTAAAGAAGATGCTGGATATCGTTTCATTTAGTCAGAGCAAGGGAAAGAAATGCAGGTGTCCCCAAAATGTATACACACTTTGAGTAATTATTAATTCCAACAGGTTAAATCTGGAAAGAAAGAAACATCAATTGAACTATTAAAAAATGTATGTGTGTACATTTTTTGGGACACCCTACATAAACAAAAGAGCAATTGACACTTTTTAAAATAACGATGTATTTACATTTTATTTTTAAAATACATAACATAGGGGTCTTTTCTGCATATTTAGAGCATATATCAAAAATAGGGAGAGATACAAGGTTTACTGGATTGTCACACCTTATATGGCGTATTTCTAAGGCCTGACATGTGGACAGCAAACTTGTTTGTAACAGCATTTCTATTTCCACGTGAAAAATAAGTTTTAAAAAAATGGAGGTTTTTAAGAACCGGGGGAGGAATCACTTAACAAAGAACAACATTCAAAAATAAACTTTTAGCCCTTCACTAGAGGAGAAATAAAATACTCAAGAGAAACAAAACAAAACCCCAGAAAAATGGTTACAACAACAAAAACAACGAAGAGTTTTCTAAGTTTTCTTTTGGCGTAAGGCTGTCAGCCCTGAAGCCTGTCTCCCTTGTTCTCAGGGCCTCTCAGGCCTGGGAGGTCAGAGGTCAGAGGTCAGGGGCTGGGGGCATGGCTCCAGGCAGTCATCAGAACCTGCCTGGCGCGGATTCCCTCTGGAGGCAGCTCCAGAATAAAGACCAGTGCACCCCAAACTACAAGAAGGTGCCGTGCTCCTGGGGTGGCTGTCTTACGGGAACCTCAGTGGCTCTAACATGCTTTCCCACTGCCTTTGGTAACCTGGGGGAGATACAGCCCAGAAATTTCCTCGTTTTGTACAGATGGGGAAAATTAGCTCAGAGAGAGATGGTAAACAGTCAGATCTAAGCTGGTGGCAGAGAGAGTGTTCCTCCTTCCCAGGAAGCTGAGACTTGGGAGGCATGAAGCTCTGTGCGTGGAGTGCTCTGAGGTTGGCTGAGTTTACACAGCCCCCATCTCCCAGGTACCTTCTATTTGTTTAATTTGGTTGGAACTTCCTGTTTTCTTTCTTTTTCTTTCAAATTGGAGGCTGCGTAAGAGAATCATAATTGAATCAGTTGCTCCCTTTCTATATCCAGTTTCCCCGTTTAAGTCTCTGTCGTCACTTGCCAGTGTGCATGTGTGACTGCCCGTGGCCATGCTGCCCTTGTCCTGTGTCCTTGGCTCCTCTCTGCCTTCACATCCTGGTCCTCCCGCTGGCTATGAATAGTGTTGCAGTTGTCAGTAGCCATGCTGCTTTCACCCACAAGTTAGGTGAGCCAAATTGAACCCAACTGATTTAGAAATTTATATTGTTTGATGGGGGGAAAAAAGAAAGAAGGAAAGAAGAGAGGTATAAAAACTGAGAGAGCCCTGGCTGGTATGGCTCAGCTGGTTGGGAGTCGTCCCCTGCACCTGGAGGTTGCCAGTTTGATTCCCGGGGCAGAGGCCCTGGTTGCAGGCTCAGTCCCCCATAGGAGGTGTGCAGGAGGTAGCCAATTGATGTTCCGTTCTCTCATCAACGTTTCTCTCTCTCTCCCCCCCTGTCCCTTCCTGTCTCTTGAAAAGTCAATAAACTGATCTTTAAAAAAATGCTTAAAAAAAAGAAAAGAAAACCAACTCTTTGACTTAAAAAGAAAAAAAGACTAAGGGTGCCCAAAGAGCGGCTTGTTTGTTTTTTTAAGGGATCTCACCATTCAGAAGAGTTGCATATTAAGATGAGAAATAAAAACGTGCCTTATATAAAAATAATTACAATAAAATTCAAAATAAACAAGGGTTTTAAGAGGCCCCCAGCATTCCATTCCATGCATTACCTTTATTATCCGGGAAATCTCTGTATTTCTAACATAAGCAAACGTGCTGTAATTTAATTTTCTCTGGTCCTTTTTCAGTGGCTGTTTCCTTGCTTTCAAGTTCTTTATTAAATTTCTTTGTCTTCTCTCTGTAGAAAAATTCCAGCTCCACTGACTTTTCTGATTTGGTTTGAATCTGCAGCCTTCCATTGGTCCTTGTGGTTCTTCTCTGAACCTTCTCCATGTCCCTCTTATCTGTGGCCATTGGGCCTGGGCAATACTTCGGTACACACATGATATTGCTGCAAATGAGGGAGAGAGAAAGCAGGCACTCCTATTGAACACTACACTGTATAATCTTCTGTCTCCAGTTTATAGTTAAAATAATCTTCCCCAGTGCAACAGCTTCGAAGTCAGTTGATGTACAAAAGCATTTATCAGGATCATGTGTGTGGAGATTCTGAGCTCCCATTATGGTTAAAGGGAGATTCCAGAGGGTGTTATTTGGTTTAATTTATTGTGGCATTGGCAGGATGTGACCTCTCTGTGCCTTATGGTTCAAGGAGGTAATTACAGTACAGAGCTGATTGGTGGGGGCTGCTCTCCTCACCCATCCTGGGCCTGCAATGCCAGAAAACCAAGCAGGCTGGAGTAAGCCTGTGACGTGGCTGAGTGATTAGAAGGGTAACCTGGAAACTTGCTTCCTAATTGCATCATCTGATTTATTTATCGCGGCCCAGTATCTTGGTGCAGTGACAGGCCAGTGCAGGAGTATCAGAGACCTGGACGGCTCAGATAGTGCGGGACTGCTGCACTTTCCTCCAGAAGAAACGTGATGCCTATTGCATTAGAGTTGAATCCTGAGAGTAATTAAAGTGTGATGGTCTACATAACTTGTGTTTTATATGGAGCATTGTTAATTATGTTTCCATCTCTTGGGACTACCCAGAGTTAGCCCTGGAAATTCTATAGTTGCCAAGATGTTGCCAAAAAAAAAGTGAGGTACAGGTCACACAAAGTGAAATGATCTCCCCAAATGTTTTTTCACTCTCAGGGACTCAGAGGCCTGGTATTTTCTATTAAGACTGTGAATAATAAGGCAGTAATCTAATATCACCTGAATTCTGAATGCACATTTATACACATATATGACTTCTAAAATAAAATAAATTTACTTTTGAGACTCACCCTTAGGCTTCCAGTGGCTGGGCCACCCCCAAGCACATGTCCACCTGTCACATTTTGTGGCTTCTAAATAAACCAAGGTGTTAAATTTAGTTTGTCATTTACTGTGCACACCGACACTTTTTAAAGGAACGGAACAGGCACTAGAAGACCATAATCCATAGGTTCAGATCTGACCTTAAAAACTGATACCACCAAATGCAGTGAGAGCCACTTGGTAATTATGCAGCTTTCTTGACTGGTTTATACTCCACATTTGAATGAAAAGTGCTGGCTGAGTCGCAGGGTGGCACTGTGCTTGGCTGCCCTGCTGCACGCCAAGGCCAGGAGGTGCCCTGGTTTCCATGCCCTCCCATTCTCTCTTCTTTAGCAGACCTCACGTGCCACCTGCCCCTCAGGCTGAGTCAAAAGGAGCAGCTCCTTCACCTTCACAGGACAGACTTGCCCACGAAAGAGCAGGGCGCATGGGAGGCTGGAGAGGGAGAGGGGAAAAGGAGACGGGGGTGAGTTTTGGTTTTGTTCATTCAGATTTTAAATAAAAAAAACAAACTCCTCATATTCTCTCCTACCTGGAAGTTTTCACAGCTCAATTAAAGTTAGTTCCTTATCTCATCAGGTGTGTCTCAATTAAACTACGGGGGTGGGGGAATTAGTTCTTCATCTAATAAGAGCTTAAGAAGAAAAAAGCATGCAGGTGCCTCTGTGTCTTCCTCGATCACCTATGAGGTAGGATGTGTCCTGGTCTTCATTCTCCAGAGAGCAGTGGTGGCCACTTCAAAAAGAAAAAGAAACTTCCTTTACACAAAATTACAAACACAGTTCCCCTTTAATAAAAGACCATGTTGAAGAATAAGCTCCACATCCTGGGTTATGTCAGTTTTCTGTGCTTGAGTAATTCTTAGTAATGCTCTAGGGCTTTCTTTTCCTGCTTTTCCATTAGTAGTCTCTTAAGCATTTCTTTTCTCAGTTCTTTAATGTGATGCATGTAATTTAAGAAATGCTGAAGCAGAGGGTTTGCAGTGGTGGAATGGGGAAGTGCGCTGGCAGCCAGTGCTTGTGGCTAAAACGTAAAGAATCTGCATCTCAGACAGTAGTTGCACCTTCCAGTGTCGACCTCAGGGGGGCACCAGATCCCCCAGCATTGTTTCTGTAAAGAAAAAGGCAAGTTCTGTTTTCACTGTTGGGGATGGAAAACTTTTCAACCACAGATGAAGGGAGAGACAAATAAAAATAAATAATAAAAACAGGGCAGTGGTCGACCTGGGAGGTCATTGCCACTCAGAGGCTGCGCTGAGAAGCAGCAGGAGGCTGAGGAGCTGTCCCTGCTCAGGCTGCAGGAACTACCTGGGTGGAGGCCACTGGGCCAGGCTAGAAAGGGGCTCTTCAGACTTGAGGGATTTTGTTGAGCATCCAGGACGGCATGCCTGTGTCCTAACGCTCTGAGACCATGGGTAAATTTAAAACACAAAAGTACATTTGGTACTTGTTAAGTTTTTTTGTTTTTTTAAGCCTAGAAATGACAGATTTATCACTAATTAAACAATAATTGTATTATGGAGTACTGAAAAAAAGTTGCTTGTAGTGTAAACAACATCTGGCAAAGATTATAAAGAAAGAATATTTTTCCATCTCAAATTTATTGAAAGAAATTCGAATGTTTTGAAACAAAATAGATCCTAAAATGTAAAAGGGATATTTATAGTCTTATGTTTAGTATTTTGAAATTAGAAAAGAAGAAAATGGCATAATAAAAAAATACACATTTATAAAGGTATCTTATTTTGCATGATAGATGTGAAGGTTTTGTTTAAGTAAATTTTTTTAAAACCAAATTGTTTTTGAACTCAGTAAAGGGTCTTTCTGTTGAATCTTATGAAGAACCCTCTTTTAAGAAGAAAGTTGTTTTTTCAATTGATTTTAGAGAGAGAGAGAAACATAGATTTGTTATTCCACTTATTTATGCATTCATTGGTTGTTGTTTTTTTAAAATATATCTTTATTGATTTCAGAGAGAGCAAGGAAGGGAGGGGGAGAGAGAAACATCAGTGATAAGAGAGTCATTGATCTGTTGCCTCCTGCACGCCCCCTGCTGGGGATCAAGCCTGAAACCCAGGCATGTGCCCTGACCGAGAATCGAACCGAGATCTCTTGGATCCTAGGTTGATGCTCAGCCACTGAGCCATGCCGGCTGGGTGTCATTGGTTGATTTTTTATGTGCCCTGACTGGGGATCAAACCCGTAACTTTGGCATATCGGAATGATGCTCTAACCAACTGAGCTACCCAGCCAGGATGCAAGTTATTTTTTGATGAATATAGTAACCCTTTAATTTATATACATATATTAACACAAGGGCCTCTTGAAAGAGTCACCTATGTAGTGGGACAGGATTGTTGGTTGGTGGATAAATTGGAGGGAAAGCTTCTAATCAGTCATTTCTTGAGAAAAAAAGATTATTCCTGAGTAAAATATTTAAACTAAGTTAAAATAAACCATGAAAGAGGATCTTTTCCAGGCTTTCTGAGCTTCAGCTCCTTCTCTCTCACCTGCAGTTTCCCTCTTTATTTCTTAGGAAGAAATATCTATGAAGGGTGATAAATAAAAAGGCTTTAGAATTTTTTTTGTTGTTAGCTCTCACCCAGGGATTTTTTTCCCATTGGCTTTTAGAGAGTGTGGCAGGGAGAGAGGGGGACGGTAGAGAGAGAGAGAGAAATACTGATGTGAGAGAGATTGGTTGCTTCCCGCATGTGCCCCAACCAGGACGGGGGACGGACCTGCAACCGAAGTACAAGCCCTTGACCAGGAATTGAACCCGGAACCCTTAGGTGTAAGGGCTGATGCTCTAACCTCTGAACAACATGGCCAGGGCTTTGTTTGTTTCTTTTTTGCCTTTTTATTTTTTATAAGAGGCATTCAGTTTTGTCTGTAAATTACATCAAATCAGTATAATTTCCCTCTCTGGTGTATATTTGCTTTCTCCCCTCCCCATATTCCCTCTCTTGCACGCACGCACACAAAAGGCAAGATTTCTTCCTGGGGATTCTGTTCTTTTGTGTTCTCAGGCCTCTTTCAAGTGGCTTCTAATGATCATTGATGAGCCAGGATGAAAATAACGGTAGACAGTGAGGGCAGAGGGCAAGCGCTGACTTTATTTGTACAGTTCACAGTACAGAGCGACAAGCAGGCCACGCCCGCCCTCTGCCCACAGCGCAGGCCTCGAGACTGCGGCCACTGCCCAGCTCCTCTGTGTTGACTTGGTCTTTCCTTGTTCTGTTGAGGCATGAGGTACGGGAATGAGCGGTCTGAGGAGAGAGAGGAGTAAGCCGTGCAGGCCTGGGTAGCTGTGGGAGATGGGAAGGGGGGCACAGCCAACAGGGCAAGCGGACCCCGAGAGAAGGAAGCCGGAGTCTGGAGCCCTCCCTCAGCACCGGCCGCTCCTCCCCTGACACTCAGTGGACGGCCTGGGCAGTGCGATGGGGGCGAGAAGGGCGAACCTCACGTTTTCGATGGCCTCCCGGTGCCCCCTTTCCTCAGACTTGAAGTAATCTGTACGTGGAAATCGCTAGGCCAGATGGAGGAGATAGGAGCTTGAGAAGGAACAGATTTTGGTAGGATGGAGAAAAATGTACAAACAGATGGACTCCAAGAAAGGTTTTCTTTCTTTCCTCATTTTTATAGGAAAGATTATAGCCTGGGTTGTGGCGCCTCAGAGCCTGGCTGCGGAGTGGCTCGTGGGGTGTTACTTAGGGTCCCATTTTGCCAATCGGACAGGACACAGAGGGTTCGATGTTTGCCTTTTCCCTCACAAGGGTGCTATAAAGGTTCAGGGGAGCGTTATGGTTTCCAAAGAAGCATAAATTAAGACTTTAATTCTATTTGGAGGATTCCCTTGATAGAAAGCAGCTTAAGTTGGCTTTTGTGATTTGATGTCACTGGGACACATGCCTGGCCTCTGAGCAGGCTGGGCTTCAGGAGGGTCTCAGTGACCCTGAAATTATGTGCTTGAGAAGTATGGAGAGTCTCATTTTAAAAACCATCAGTTAAGGCAGAGATGAGAAAGAGCTGTTCACAGCTCTGGGCAGCAGGGAAGACTGGTTTTAAAATAAAAATTTCTGCCACTGCTGTTTCAGCAGGTTCCCCTGCCTCCTGGCATCGTATCTGTTTTTAAGCTAAACGAGTTGTGGAAGCAGGTTGAGAGCAACCGAAGGTCTGAAATATTTGGACAGAAAGGAATTGGCATGGAGAGAGCAGGCAGATTCCACACAGCCTGGAAACATTTGAAACGTTGGATTAAGCTGTTTTGCTAGAAAACACTGCATAAAGGAAAAGTAGGCCCAAGCTCTATTCTTTCAACAAACTGAGTTAGAGTTTTCTTGCTTCCCCTTTGATTTTCGTGTAGTCCTGCTCTACACGTTGGGTCATCCTTCCTTTGCCATTTGGAAAACCCGTAATTAGCATTGAGTGATTTTCTACTAGCATCAAATTTATAGAGTGGCTCTGGAGTAGTTAAACCGTTTAGAATAGGAATGGTCCTATTTTACCATTTTAATTTTGGTTTTCTCCCGGTGCATTTTCACGCTCTGCCTCTGGACACATGGTAGTGTTGCTTGGTCTTAATCAGGAGGCACAGTGTCTATATGTGAAACTGGAAAGCTGTTCTGGCAAATTTGATGAATCACTTTCCTTCCAGACATGCAGCTTGCTTTCCCTTCTTGTTTGCTTTTTCCATTATGAATACATAGAAACTTTTATGATATTTTCTGGGCATATATCCAGTGACCTGTTAATAACTTATTATTTACAGTGAAGCTGAGCAGCAGGGAGATTAACTGACTTGCCTGAGATCAAAGCCAAGACATAACCTGCCTCTCTTCTGTTGGACCATGGTTCTGGCAAATTACTTTCTTGAGTACATAATGAATTTATCTGTGAACATTTTTAGTTGGTTTCTTTGAGATAAAAACACATCAGTGAAGCATTATGGAGCATGGGTTACTCTACTTAAAGAGTAGAGATTTGTAACTTATAAATCACATTTGTAACTTATAAATCAGATTTCTCTTCAAAAAATTAAAAGGAAATTATCCCATCATTTCACCAAGTGGTGATGCTCTTGCCTGGGGCCCTGTGACAGCCTGTAGTGGCGATGTTTGAACACTAGATGGCGCACGCTCAATGTTACAACTCAAAACACCTGCACAGAACCCACAGGGAAAGGAGCGCCTGTGGAGACAGACACCGGCCTTCCCGCAGCGTGATCCAGGACGTTTGAAGGACAAAGCATACCCTGTTTTCTTTTTTTCCTGTTGGGGGCGTGGGGTTATGAAAAAATATTTCCAAAAGCTAGCCATATCAAGTGTACTACATGATTTGAAGAAATTCTCTCTGGAGCCTAATCCTCTAACACTTAGGTGCTACTACAAAATTCCTGATTTAGGACACAAGTACCATTTTCATCTGGCCTAATCTCACGCTTTGAGCTCTACCCAAAAAGGTGGAATATGGGTCAGGCCTGCTAAAGCCCGTCAGCCTCTGCTCATTTAAACCACCGGAACTTGTCACAAAAATATTTGTGGAATATTTTCATCATGTGAGATGATGGTATCTTAAATTTTGTATCAACCCACTTTTCATGCTAAATAATTTAAACTGCTAAATTCATGGTGCACTGAGATGCGCATCATTGAGTCTAGCACAGCAGTGGTCACTGCTTTCCGTAGTGTCAAACCTTACGCCCTCATCGCCTGATGGAAAGGTAGCTGGTCCGGGTCTGCCCTTGAAGTCTTCTAGGCCATGTGAGGAGGTCAGGCACATTACTTAAAACTAGCAAAACAGGAGGCTCTGTCTTCATTGCAGCATGCAGGTAGAAAGTATTTTAAATTTTCCATGATACAGCCCAGCCTGTGTGGTTTGGTGGCTGAGTGTCCACCCATGAACCAGGAGGTCACGGTTCGACTTCCTGGTTTCAGGCTCGATCCCCAGCAGGGGCGTGCAGGAGGCAGCTGATCAATGACTCTCTCTTATCATTGATGTTTCTCTCTCCCCCTCTCCCTTCCTCTCTCTGACATCAATAAAAGCATATTAAAAAACATTTTTCCACGATACATACTGACTGTTTTTCTGGATCATAGGGACTTACTGTAGAAAATGTGGAACATACATGAATATAAAGAGGAAACCAAGCATGCTTGCAATCCCCTTGCCCAAGGAGAACCTGGGCTTTGTCCGTTTCTTCTAACCCAAAGGACTAGTCCCGTTTTCTAGATCCCAGCAGTTCTACACGACTCATCTGCCTGGTAATAGCAAGTTACTGATGAAATGCTTCTAAAGTTTTGCTTTCTCATGGTCTTTTCCTCCACAGCCTGAAGCAGCCTGCCACCCTGCCATATTCAGAATTGTTGATGAGATGTTCAGGTAAGTGTTGTGTTATTCTGCTAATAATTGGTTTTAAAATGCCCAGTTTCCAAATATAAATAAAAAATTCTGTGGTGGTCTCTGGCTATGTCATGGGGAGATTCATTTCTGATACTATCTTACCACTCTGAGCTTTTTGGTAAAACCCAAATGTCAGTGTATATTTAAAAGCCAGTGCTTAAGAATTAAGATAATTTTCTCTTTTTACCCTTTTAAAATTTTAATAATAATGGTAGAAGGGAGAATTAGATTTGAAATAATTAAATATGTAGGATTTTTCTCAGCTCAAAATAAAGTGTAGCAGTGTACTCCCTTCACCACACGAGGGCTGACCAATCTTTTTAAAGGAGTTTTACAGCTAAGGGAAAACAAGAAGAATAAATAAATGCCATCTTAACAGCTCTTCTGAAAGGTGAAATCAACTATGCGAGTTATCTTACAACACGTTGATTTTTACTGGGCAAATCTGAGTACTTTCTGGAAACGCATTGGATTTACAGGTGATGAGAGACCAGAGCAGAGCACTGGACACCAGGTTAGGTGATGGCTGACCGCTGTGGGAGATTGACCCTCTCTGGGAGCTTGTCTCCGGGGAGGGCCTCCAGCCTCTGTGAGGGCTGCTGACCCCCAGGGTGCCCGCTCTCTCCGTTCCACCCCCCTCCACGCAGTGGTAGGGGCTGCAGAGCAGGCAGCAGACACTGGGGAAAGGAATTTTTACAATAGCAAATAACCCAGCACTTGGGTTGGTCTTGAAACACACCAACTTTAAGCTAAATAAGCATAGAAATAAGAAGTCAGAATGCTGTTTTTAGTTTAAAGCTAGCAAAGTCTGAGCTGCTTTTTTGTTTAAACATAAGAAAAGTTGGTTGTGTGGAAATGCAAGGGAAGCAAACCAGATCCACACAGTCTTGCACCACATTGGTGGGTGGATTTGACAGAGCCATTTCCCCCTTGGGCAGCTCTTTCTCCACTTGAAAAAGCAAAGGGTCTGCTGCTGCTGCGTGTCTGGGCACACAGTGTGCAGGTATTTGCAAAAAGTGTTCAGGCCCGTGTGGAAGGATGTGCAGTACTTAATTTAAAAACCAAGGATGGGAGTGCTGCATGGTACAGTTGCGAAGTATTTGGTAAAGGGGGGAGAGATTTCTCTGCCTTCTCACGGGACTGGCATCTGATGAGCTGAGATATTGCTGAAGCTTATTGCACAAAAGGAGTGTTTCCACTCTCCCCTCTACAGTCCAGGTTCATGTGTCTAGCAGGTTAATCATTAAGTGCCTGTGATCTGCATTGCCTTGCTCAGGTATGCACTCCTGGAAACGGATGGAGCCCCTGAAGTACTAGCCGCCCTTCAAGTGTTTACGTGGTGCTTTATGGACGCCCTGGAAAAAGAAAACCACCAGGTTCGTTATACTGCATGTAGTTTTCATTCCCCCAAAGGAAAGAGGCTGCTCAGAGGATGTGGCTAATCACCAGAAAGGAGACTTTACTTTCAGTTATTCTGACAGGCTGTTTTGCTCACAAAGAAAGCTTCCAAATGTATGCTCCAGCGAAGGTAAAACTTTTAATCGAGAGTAATCAAAACAGTTCCCGTCTGCCCTGTGCCTAGTACCCAGAAGCGTTTGTCCACTGTATGTCAGAGAACTCCGTCCTGCCCGCCCTGGAAGGTGAATTTTCCAGGCCCAGACCAGCGTATGCATTCTGGCGTCTATGTGGCATGTGCTAAGAAGGAAATGCCATGTATTACAAAGCAACACTGAGCATTCTTAATTATTTGAGTCTCCATGCCTTTGAGAGACCCAAATAAATGCGAGTTGGATTCCAGGAGAGAAAGGAGGTAATGAGAACAGTAAGGGAAGATTTGAGTAATTGTAGAGGAGGAGCCAGGAATGGCAGAGACTAAGGGGTGGGCGTTGGACACCAGTGAGCAAGAAGCCAGGCCAGGCTCCATCGACAGAGGCCAGGCAGCGCTGGCAAGGACCGCCGACCAGTTCGAGTGACCCTGCAGACAGGAACCTTTCTACCAGAGGGCTCTCGCCTTGGGCGTTTTAACTAACCTGTACTTGCGTGTGGTGGTCTGCCTGTCCCGGTGCCCGGGCCCACTGCAGCTCCCCGTGAGCCCGGTCACGGGCCCCATGCTACCTTCAGCACTGACTTGGAACAGTGCGGTGATGCTCAGCTCTGCTAACGTCCCATCACCTCTACACCCAAGAGCCGCTCAGGATTATCGTTGTTTAAGGCAACGAGAAGTATTTATGATGTATTTTTTCCCATCGTCTCTTTCCCAGTTAGCTAGACTGTAGCAAACTGCGTTATCATTGGTACCCGTCCTGGAATTCAGGAGAGCCTGCTGAAAGGCACTGACTGGCTGGCCCTTACGTATTTTAAGGCATGACTATAAATACCTTTTACCCTCCCCTGTACATCTTTCTCTTCCCAATTAGGAGCCGACGGCTAGAAAACCTCTCCCTCGACTCCTGGAACACACCTAGGATAGGGTGGAGGACCTGGTGAGAGGAGTATTGTTCTTTAGTGTTTGCTTGAGTCTCGTTTTCTTACCAGCTTTGTTCCTCCTGAGTGTTGCCTTTGGGCACTACGGACTTGGACTCGATTTGCAATTGCTTTTAATTTATTTTTATTTTTATTTTCTCTATTGTTATTGAGGTATAATTGACATATTCTGTTAATTTCAGGTGTGCAATATAATGGTTCAGTATTTATATTGTGAGAAGATCTCCACAGTAAGTCAGTTGTTATTTTTCAACAAGCACAATTACAAATTTTCTTTTCTTGTGAGGAGAACTTTTAAGATCTACAGTCTTAGCAATTTTTAAATATGCAGTATAGTACAATAAGCTGTATATTACATCTGTACATTACATCCCCATGAATTATTTTATAGCTGAAAGTTTATACCTTTTTACTCCCTTTACTGGTTTCACCCACTCCCTATCCCCACCGCTCATCAACCACCGGTCTGTTCTCTGTGTCTATGAGCTTAGTAGGTCTTCCTCCCCCTCCCCCTTCTCCCCTTCCCTTCCTTCCTTTAAATTGCACATATAAGTGAAATCATATATGGTATTTGTCTTTCTCCATCTGACTTATTTCACTTAGAGTAATACCCTTGAGATTCATCCATGTTGTCACAAATGGCAGGATTTCTTCTTTTAAAAAATTTTTTTCAAATGTTTTTATTGATTTTTAGAGAGAGAGGAAGGGAGGGGATAGAGAGATAGAAACATTGATGAGAGAGAAACATCATCGATCTGCGGCCTCCTGCACATCCCCTACCAGGGATCGAGCCCGCAACCCGGGCATATGCCCTGACTGGAATCAGTTCGCGACCTCCAGGTTCATGGGTCAACACTCAACCACTGAGCCACACCGGCTGGGCAGGATTTCATTTTTAATGGCTGAGTAATATTCCACACACACACCCCACTTTTCCTTTATCCATTCATCCATTGATGGAAACTTCAGTTGTTTGCATATCTTAGATATTATAGATGATGCTGCAGTGGACATGGGGGATGCTTATGTCTTTTTGAATTAGTGTTTTCATTTTTGTCAGATAAATACCCAGGAGTGGGATTGCTAGATCATATGGTAGTTGCATTTTTAACTCTTTAAGGACCCTCCATACTGTTTTCCATAGAGGCTACACCAATTTCCATCCCCACTGATAGCGTGTAAGGGCTCCCTTTTCTCAACATCCTTGCCAGCATTTGCTGTTTCTAGTCTTTTTGATAATAGCCATTCTTACAGGTGTGCGGGGATATCTCATTGTGGTTTTGATTTGCATTTCCCTGATGACTGATGATGTTGAGCTTCTTTTCTTGTACCTGTTGGCATCTGCATATCTTTGGAAAAATTTCTATTCAGTAACTCTGCCATTTTTTTTTATCAGATTGTTTGAGGGTTTTTTTTGCTATTGAGTTATGAGTTCTTTGGATACTTTGGATGCTTGCCAGATATATGATTTGCAGATATTTTCCCCTATTCCGTAGGCTGCCTTTGCATTTTGTTAATGGTGTAGAAGCATTTTAGTTTGATGTAGTCCCACGTGGTTAGTTTTGCTTTTGTTCCCTTTGCTTCTGGAGCCAGAGCTATTTTGAGTTAATGTTTACATATAGTGTAATATAGTCGTCCAGCTTCCTTCATTTCCATGTGGCTGCTCAATTTTCCCATCACCACTTATTGAAGAGACTGTCCTTTCCCCATTACATACTCTTGGCTCCTTTGTTGTCACTTAATTGACCATGTATGTGTGGGCTTATGTCTGGGATCTCGATTCTGTTACACTGCTCCACGTGTCTGTTTTTATTCCAGTTCCATACTGTGGTGATCGCTATAGCTTTGCAATAAAGTTTGAAATCAGGGAGCATGATAACTCCAGCTTTGCTGTTTCTTTCTCAAGATTGCTTTGACTATTTAGGGTCTTTTGTGGTTCCATACAAATTTTAAGATTGTTTGTTCTACTTTTGCCACTTTTAGTTTAGAATAGCGCCCTGACCAGGCTACATGGATCTGATGGTGCCAGACACAGGCTGGGTCCTAATGGAAGGCAGGGCAGGGGTCCAAAAAGACAGGAATTCATCACCCTCATCTTCGGCTCAGAATAGGAGGACAGTGGCCTCTGACCTTTGCAGATGGCTTCATATACGTATATTATATCATTTCTCTTCCTAGGGCTGTTCCCGATTTTCTGCCTTTCTGATTGATAGCCATTCCCATCACCGATCCCCTGCCTTCCTGAGTGCCCATTTTAGGTGAATCATGGTCCTCGATGCATAATGTCCAATGTCCTGTTTGTTCCATGCATTGCCCTCTTTTGTTTCTGTGCTCCATTCATTCATCTGTGTTTTCACTCTTCATAAAATGAGCGTCCGTGCACCTGACATCCACACAGGACCTGGACTGAGGAGTCGCTCAGCTCTGTCCGTCTGCTCCTCCTCGGTCCTGGCGCCCTGCCTGCGCCCCTTAGGTAACCACTGTCTTGAATTTACGTTCATCATTCCTCTGCTTTTCCCGAAAAGAGTCTGATCACATATGTATGATTTCATAAACCTTTTTTCTTTGCTTGTGCTTGTTTTTGTACTTTATAAAACAGCCAACATGCAAGAGCAGTTACTGTCTGCAGTCTTCTGAGCTTTGCTTTCTTCGCTCAGCTTATTGCCGAGATGGCTCTGGGAGGCCTGGGGCCGGACGGGTGTTACTGGGTGGGGCTCCACGGGAAAGTGCCACAGTGTAGCTGGGCATTTGTTTTCTTCCACACACAAGTGCTGCTCTGAACACTTGGATGTGTACTTAGGAGTGGAGGTGCTGGTTATTAGGAATGCGGAGGTTCTGCTCCTTGTAGCTACTATCAAATCGCTTTCATTACCCTCCTCCCCAGCACTTTATAAGAAATCCCATTAACCCACATTCTTTCCCATTGTTGGAAATGTGTACGTCACTGCTTCTCATTCCCTTTCTATCCTTTCCTCTCACCCTGTGTTACTTGGAGAGCGCAGTGCAGCCCCATCAGTGTGCCCAGTCCAACTGGCAGGCAAGCCTAAGGCTGTGAGGACAAGCCACCTTTTCTGCACTTGCAGAATAGCTCAGTACAAACAGAATCAGTTCAGGCTCTTGTTCTGGTACTGGCAGGACCTCATAATGTACTAGACTAAATCTCCCGCACTTAAAAATTATAAACTGTAGGGAAATATTTTTAAGAATGATTTGAAGGTCCTGGAGAGTAACCAGAAAAGCAGATAGAAACTGGAGGGGATTCAGCCCTTGGAAAAGGAAACTCCATGGGCTGTTCTCATTTTTTTCCTGAGGGGTGGGAGTGGGGCTGAGTGGGGTCAGGGGGTGACCAGAACTCAAGGTACAGTCTGATTGACTTGAGGTGTAAAAAGGAAGAGCTGTGGACTGTCAGAGGAACAAAAAGACTGGAGAGAAGAAACTAATATCAAAAGATAGACCTAAACCCAAACGTACCTACAAGTACGTTAGTTACAAAAGTTAAGTGAAAATTATAAAGTAGTAAAAAGGCAAATAGTTCAGCCTGAATGAAAAACCAAGACCCAACTATTTCTTGTTTCAAGAGACCTGTTCTAATGCTAAAGACACCGATTAAAGTAAAAGGAAGGAAAGAGATATGTTACGATTTCAAATATTAAATTAAGCACGAGAAGCTGGCATGGCTGTACTAGTGGCAAACCGACTAGACTTCAGGACGAGGGGTGTGACCAGAGGTAAGAGGACATTTTATAACAGCACGACTGCCAGGAGAAACACCAGTTATAAACGGATGTGTGCCCAGGAACAGCGTTCAGAGGCGGGCGAAGCAAAAACTGGCAGACGCACACAGAGAAACAGATAAATCCTGTCACACACAAAAATACTCAGGATTAAATTTAACAAAAGGTGGGTAAGACCTATACACAGAAAACTACCAAATGTTGCTGAGAGAAAGAAAACTTAAATATATGAAGAGAGAAACCGTATTCGTGAATGTTAAGATGCTTGCTTTCCCCAATTCGATCTCTTATTTCAATGCGATCCCAGTCAAAATCCCAGCAGGCGTTTTAAAACAGAAATTGAGAGGCTGATTTTATATGGAACTGCAAAGGACCTGTAGTAGCCAGAAAAATTTTGGAAAAAAGCAAAAAAAAAAAAAAGGCGAGGACTTACACTACCTGAATTCAAGACTCAAAGCTACAGTAAAGACGGGGAGGCGTTGGCGAAGGGACAGACACAGGTCAGTGGGCAGAGTGGAGCCCAGAGGCAGGCCCGTGCAGGCACGGTCAGTGGGTTTTTGACAGACACGAGGCGGTTCAACAGAGAAAGGGACGTTTTCAGCAAATAGTGTCGAAACAGCTCCTAGAACAAAACGGGGGGAATGTGGTTATTTTTGGTTTGCTTTTTGGTGTCCGGGTAACCTAAGATTTCTTAGAAGGGGTGCAGAAGAGCTCTGAGAAAAGTGAGTAAATTAGATATTATAAAACATGGGCAAGTGAGATACACTGTTCATTGATAGACATCATTAAAATGGAAAAGCTGGGAGCAGATATTTTCCGTATGGACTCTGACAGAGGACTCGTCCAGGGTGCATGAATCTTTCTCACAGCTTCATAAGGAACAACTCGGTTTTCAAAAACGGACAGAAGACTTGAATGTACACTTCAGAAAAGATCTATACGTTGGCAACATTGACACGAAAGTTGTTCAACATCCTTCGCCATCAGGAAATGAACGGCAGAGCCAGGGTGAGGTGGCATTTCACACGCCCTGGGACGGCCAGCGGGGACGGGATCGGTTGCGATGGCGCGTGCCCGGCGTGCGTGGCAGCTGGAGCTTTCATAAACGGCTGAGGGGACACACTGCGGCCGTCGGAACGCCGCCGGGCATCCTTAGGAACCTGACGGCACCCGCTCTGGGGCCCAGTGATTCCACTCCTGCAGTGTTTACCCATAGAGGGGCAGCGCTCTGCACAAAAAGACATAAATGTGAATGTCGGTTGCAACTTTATTCATAGTAGTTCCAAACTGGAAACAACCCAGGTGCCCGGCAGCAGGAAAATGGATACACAGGTCATGGTATATTCTTACAAGCAATAAAAATATAATGAACTACGTACACACAGCAATGTGGATGAGTCTCAAAGAGACATGTTGAGCCAAGGAAGCCAGACACAAAAGAATATACATTCTTCGGGTTCTGTTTATATGAAATTCAAGAGGAAGCCAAACGAATAGCTCTCATCAAAATCTCAGCGCTGGTTTCGAGGGTGGAGGGATTGACAGCCACACGGGGGCTGTTGGGGGTGACAGAAATGCCATGTCTCAGTTGGAGTGGTGGTCACGTGGGGTTCACACGTTTACCAAAGGTTATCAGACTGCCCCTAAAGCCCGTGCGCGTCACTGTCTCCAGGCTTCATCTCAGCGTTTTACAGAAGTGTGAAGGCTCTGTGCCTCCCAGGGTGGAGGCGGCTGTGGCCCTGGGGCACCAGTGTCCTGGTGGTGGGAGGACCACCTCACCACTGCCGTGGAGAGTCTCGCTTGAATAGCAGAGTGATGTGTATAATTAGGTCCACACGAGGTAAAGAACCGATTTAAACATATCAGAAGCGTAATTTTTTCTTAAGTCCAGAAGATTTCTTTAAAAGATTCATTTTTTGAAAATATATTTATAAGATCACTGGAAGCATCTTTTTAAGAATTTTTAAAAATATATGTTTTTATTGATTTCAGAGAGAGGAACGGAGAAGGAGAGAGAGAGAAATATCAATGATGAGAGAGTCATTGATCAGCTGCCTCCTGCCCTGCATGTGCCCTGGCCGGGAATCACCCTGCGTGTGCCCTGGCCGGGAATCACCCTGCGTGTGCCCTGGCCGGGAATCGAACCGTGATCTGGTTCAATGTGGTTCAGAAGTCGATGCTCAGCTGCTGAGCCACACTGGCCAGACACATCTTCTTTTTTTCTTTTTCTTTTTTTTTTGAATAAAGGAAAACAGTCTGACCATGTTAGTACTGGTGGGTCCTGTTTGGGCACAGGATGCAAGCTTTTATGTTTCCTTAACACCCCTTCCAATCCTGATGTTTGTTCAGTTTTCAATTTTTAATCTATTGCAGCTGAAGTTTGCACTCAAGACCTACTTTCCTTATGCTTCTCCATCTCTGGTCATGGTGCTGCTCCAACACCCAGAAGGTACGTGGCGGTTGACTGCGCCGTGTGAAATGGCATCTGGGGAAGAGCCTGACACATCTAACCCTTCCTCCCGCCCAGGTCCCGCCTGTAAAACAAGGAGAGGGGGTCGGTCCTCTCGACACCCCTTCGAGCTCTCAGGGTCTCTCATTCTGTGGGTTTTGATATGACAATTTGCTTGACTTCCCAGTTAGGATCATTTACCAAAAGAAAGAAACAGAAAAAGGGAAAAAAGGCCTCTTGTTAAGTTTTGATAGTCTGCCCCGGATACCACAGGTCCTCTGGTGCCAGCCAGGTCCACCTGGATGCCAGGAACAGGCTATGACTTGGCCGAGTTAGAATAAAACAGTGCATTTATTTGTGTTTCTTTCTTTCTACTCCATGCCCCTTGTTGGAAAAGAAAAGATAAAAGGATGAACGAAGCCAAGGAAGTTTCGGGGACATTTCTGCTACCCAGGCCAGGGGAAGGCTCTGGAAGGAATTCAGGAGGCGTGAGACCAGCCTCTCCGGTCTCCCCGGCCAGCCTCCCAGAGCCTCGCCAGTGGGGAAGCGATGGTTCTGTCCTTAATTCAGCTGGTGCTGACCATCAGCGTGCCTGTGAGCTCCTGTTTAGGACACATTTCAGAAGCAGAGAATGAAGCCTGAGACCTGAGGGAGAGGCAGCAAAGACCGGCGCAGACTGTGCCGGGCGGGCGGCCTCTTTCCTGACCGTGGGAGGCAGAGCACAGGGAGGAGCCAAAGAGCCAATAGCACGTCCTTTTTATACCTTTTTTTATTTTTTTTTTTTTGCCTTTTGCCTGAAACTTGGGTAAGTAGATTCATTTAAGGACAGTAGGTGATTCAGAGTTTCACATTTTATAAAATCTGAATTCCTCTTCGTTTCTTCTAAAACACATAGATTCTCATCTAAGGTGACCCTTCTGACACTGTCTTCTCAGATTCTGTCTTCTCTGCTCAACAGTTTTGTGAAATTTAACCTGTGGGAACACGATAGGATAACTTCAATAACAAGATGGAAAAGTCGATGATTCACTTTCCAGGGCTGCACCTCATAGCTCAAGTCAGATTACCAAAGCCTAAGGTCAGCCTGTGTGAGCAGCTGAGTGAGCTCGGGGAGAAGTACTGGAGTTGTTCATTTTTAAGTTGGAAATCTGTAAACAGTGGGCCCCGGCTGCTCCCCCTTGCCTTGGCGTTGATTGTCCTAGATTTACGTCCAGAGTAAAGAAGTCAAGCAGAAGTAAAAGAACCTCCTGTGCTGGTTTCTAGAAAACTTTTCTGCATATTTTAGAAAAAACGGGGTTATATTCACAAACTGAACTGTTCTTAATAGTAGATAGAATCTTCTACCCATCAGAAATTGATTTTGTGCCCACTGTAAAATCCTATGGGCCATAAAAGATGGATCACTTATGAGCCCTGACTCCCTAGGAGCTATAAGTAGAGGGGGACATAAAGCAAGTATCTAAACAACTAATACAAAGAAGAGAATGAAAATACTGTCCAGCGCTGCACATCAGGAGTGTGGGAGTTCAGAGGAGGGAGGGAGAGAATATATGATCTTTCATCTGTAACATTCATGGAGTAGCAGTGGTTACTCTGTTACTCCCGTTACCCTCCTGTGTACTTAATTATAGAATCTATCACTACATGCAGATATGTAACCTTTTTCAGATGTTATTTCAAACTGCAGATACATACATACTGGATGTGTTTAAAATTACAGGATAATTGTGAAACCAGGAAAACTAACTCAAGAAACGGCATTTGTTTGTGTGATACGCATGTATTTTTTCCTGGCCTTTTCTTTCCTATAAACCCGTAATCATTCTGAATTCATCACAAGCACAGAAAAACAGTTGGGCAGCCCAGTCCTAGTTCCTTTTGACTGTTTTGTTAGTCTCCACGTATTTTGAAATCACAAATTGTTAGCGGTAGAAAAAAAAAGCCTGGGCATCTGCAGCAGAACACTTCTGGATCCTGGGGCACTGCTCATGCAGTCTTTGCAGACTCCCATGTGCCTGAGTTTGGCCCCTGGAGTACAGTTTGTGTAACACAAACGGGTCTTTCTCCCCAGGCCTGAAAGATGGGTGCTTCCTGGGACCAGTGGGAGAGCGGTGGGGTGGGTTCCATTGACCAGGAAAAAGATGGCCCTTCCCCCGAACTCTTCCAACCTTAGCTGCAGGGGACTCCTACCTAGTAAGTTTGACTTTTCTTCCGTTCCTCTCTGCTCTCTTTCCACCCACAGATATCCCACAGGGACTGAGGCACCAGCCACTGAGACGTATTTCTGAAATGCTCAGAGAAACAGTGGAAGACGAGACTCACGGGTAAGCACACGCTGATGACTCCCAGGTCTGCCTCACGCAGGGTCTCTCCAGATCCTTCCCTTCCCTTCAGCAGGGTTGATGGAAAGGCAGGATTGGTCTGGGACCATCCCCAAACAGCAAGCACACTGCTGAGTGAGACGCGGGGGACGCAGAACTGTGTGGCATGCCTGTGTGAATACCTCGCACAGCGTTACATTTTGAAATATGCAAGCATAACAGTAAAGAAGATAGACCCTAGAGAAAAAGCAGTGCCCACATACTGCAAACCCCCAGCCATGCAGAAGGAGAAGGTGCCTCTCTGGTCCTCTGCTCTTCTTCTGTTTTCTTCCTAAGGGAGGAAACTTCCCCCTCTTTGCATTAAGTATTTAATTTAAAATTTAAAAATCCTGTCTAACATTATGATGATAGTAAGTACCTTCTGAGATGTGCCATTTTCCTACCACATCCACATTTAGGCTTTAAGTTCTCAGTAAATAACACCCTTCAGCTTCCTCTTAAGTCCCTTGTGTTTAAAGTGGAAGTATTTCATTCATTGTCTGTAGTAGCCTACAAGACTACCTTTATTGGCTCCTTTGCCAGTTTTCCCTCTTGAAATTCTCTGTGACCTATCACTGAGCATCACAGGTGACGAGCAGTGCTCCAGTCGTGCTCATGGTCACTCCCGGGAGCCAGTCGCTCCCTTCTGCCCTCCACCAAGACCCTAATGGCAGAAGAGATTAGTGGCTGAGTAGGGATCAGAGTTGGCCGTACTAGTGGCCTGCCACCCTGGCAGCCCCACGGCACCCTTGCTGGTTGCCTCTGCTGAAGAGCAGAACCTAGATCCAAAACCTAACCAGGGTCTGCCTTACCTAGACGTGGGGTCCACCTGCAGGGAGGCATCTTTGAGCAGGTTGGCATTTTCTCAGCCCACATGAGACTACGTCTCACACAGTTACTGGTAGAAGAGAGGGGGGATAACAGGGCTGCCTCGGCAATGCAGGCCTGGAACCCTGATCCTAGCATGATGCCCCTCGGGGAGCGGGAGAGCCCTGCTGCTCAGCTCAGCTCGGCTCGCTGCCCAGGAGGTCTGCAGGAAGAGTCCTGGGGCCTCTTCGTTGCTTCTGGGCATCATAACCCAGCCCTCCATTCACAGGACCCAGGGAGCGTCCGCTCTCCCTCTGAGATAGTGAAGCTGCTCTTCCTTCCTTCCTCTCCATTGTCTGCGAGCTGAATTTTTAACGTTTTATCCATCAGCTGTCCTCAGAGAGGCCTTGGACCAGAGGAGTGCAGTAACCAGGGGGACAGGGCGAGGCCAGTGCTTAGCTCTTGCTTGGGGCTTCCAGGGCCCAGCAGGGGAGCAGGGGCCCAGCTCCAGCGGAGAGAGCACTGTGGGGGGCCGAGCCTCCTGCCCCAGGGCTTCCCCCTTGGAAGGAAAGTTCTGGTCTGTGCTCTCAGGCCACTCCTGCTGCATGTTTTCCAGGGGAGATGTTAGCCCACTGACACTGTCACTGTAAAATTGTGGGTCCCCACCTTGAGCTGATTCTACCCTTTAAACAACTGTTGCAATGCCAAGTTCTCGGTGTGATAAAGGACAGCCTCACCAGACTGTAACTTTTCAGCTGCTATGTACATGTACTGACAGGAAAGAGTACGGTGTACAGTTCACTAAAACTCATAATCGCCGGCATTTCGGCCAGAACCTTGTGTTTTTTGAGAAAAGAATTAGCACGTTTCTGCCTGTGGCCCTTCTGCCATCTGTGCTGGCCCCAGGGAGCCCCTCGCTTCTGGCTCCGGAGCCCCTGGGAGGCTGCTGGGCTGGGCGCCCTGCTCTCCGCAGCAGCCCTGTTCATCTTGCATCATTCCTGCTGGTCGTGGGCCAGAACCTTCCCTTCCCAGAGGTCTGGACTCACTCAGGGTTCCTGGATGTGACGGTTTGTCTGGTGTTCTTGGGGCAGGGGCTTTCCTTTGAAGGCCCTGTGATGGGCTCCAAGTGCCCCGTGAGCTGCTTTTCTGAGGCTAACTTGCACTCCTGTGTATTTCAGTGATGAGAACAATCTACGCCAGCCGTCCACAAACAGTACAGTTGCTTAAGAACCAAAAGGGAAAGAAATCACGCTGCCTGGCTGCCATGTGCTCTGGTTTCGTTCCAGGTCCTCCGGAGGCCCCTTGGGGAGCTGGTTTCTGTTCATTCACTTTGGAGGATGGGCTGATATGGTGGCTGAGCAGTTACTGATGTCGGAAGCCGACCCCCCTGAGGCCTTGCTGTGGCTCTTGGCGTTCAGCTGCAGCCCACGTGACGGGAGTCAGCAGAGAGCACAGGCCGTGGTGGGTGGCGGTGCACAGTGTGGGTGGTGGTCAGGGTCAGGCTCTCCTGGGCGGGAAGGATCCTACGGGAAAGGGGCCCCGGGGTGGGTCTGGCTTTCACTAACCCCCAGGTACCTAAGCGCTGAGTGCTCCCAGTTCCTGTGGTAGCGCGTGGATGTTACGTGGAGGAGGGGTTGTGTGCGGGATGGTGGTCAGAGATGTTTTCCTGTGTTCCCAGAGTTGACTGGAGACCACATGCTGCCCCTCTGCTCTCCTGGAAGCACCAAGGAGATAAGGTGCAGCCCTCAGTCCCCAGGTCATTCTCTCTGTTCTTGCTCAGCTGCCTGGCCTCCCTCCCTCGCAGCCACGCCTGGCCTGGAGGATGCCTTGCAGAGTCTCCGCTCCTCTGAGGAGCTCTGTCCTCTCTCTGACCAGCCGCCTGGCTGTGTCTGCTTCCGTCTGGACTCACTGCTTTCTTGGATCAGTCAACAGGTCCTCACATTACTGGCTTTGTTTAGAATTCTTACTAAAGTAATCACATGATATTAACCACTTTGCTTCTGAAAAGGGACGTGGTCATTTCCTAAATAACAGAGCCGCTAAATGCAGGCTTGGCTAACTGTCTGCGGCCACAACAGTGGTTATTTTATGTGGAATATAATAATCACAGGAAGCAGTGCTTTGATTAAAGGCATTGGCACCTCCCTTGCAAACATTTGTTGGTTTTTAAAACTTCAACTGCCAGTGCTTTTTGCTGCTTTTAATAATTAAAGGGAGCAGGTTTCTTTAGGCAGAGAGCAAGCAGCTCTGTGTGTGTGAGCAAAGCAGAGACCAGGCCAGATAGGTTTGGTGTTTTACTTGGTTAAAGGCTTGCATGGCAGTTGGAAGGAAGGGGTTTGGGATTTTAAAAAGTTGAAATTTGGTGATAATATATTTTGGATAAAAAATAGAACACTATTTAGAAATTGACACAATCCACATATGTATTCAAGGATTGCTATCTGATTAGAAAGAACACCTATTATTTCTTCCCTCTTAAAATATCACATTAAGGAAAATTTTATGTTTTCATCATCTTATTTTTAATAATAATTATAACGCATGAAGTGTTATTGATTTCTAAAGCCCTTTTATATATACTTTGTACTTTGTTCTGTATAAGCTAAGTTGTTAGGTTATGTGTCAAATTCCATGTTGATCATAGAAACTTGACAGATTCACTTTCCTTTTTAATTTATTTTTTATTGTTGACATTATTATAGATGTCCCACTTCCTCCTCCCATTTTCCACACAGCCCCACCCTGCCCCAGGCCTTCACCACAGTGTTGTCTGTGTCCATGGGTTATGCATATGTGCATATTCATTCTCTGTTTAATCTCTCCCCACCCACCCCCGCCTCCCCTCTGAGATCCCGCAGTCTCTTCCATGCTTCCATGTCTCTGGCTCTATTTTGTTCATCAGTTTATTTTGTTCATTGGATTCCACATATGAGTGAGATCACGTGATGCTCGTCTTTCTCTGACTGGCTTATTGTGCTTAGTGTAGAAATAAACTGTCCAATAAGATTTAACTTCTAGAAAGTTCTGCATTGGCACATCTTTCTACTTGTTAACTTAGTAGAAACAAGTTCTCCCTCTTCGGTGCTCCCTCAGCCTGGATAAAGGGATCAGCACACTCAGGAGGTGGCCAGTGTGTCCGCTTCCTTCCTGGCTGTTGTCAGGTAGCCGTCACCTGGTGATTAAAGCCCTCATTCATGTTTCATCCCTTCCTCCCTGGTGCCCAACCTCAGGCACTGGTGTGTGTGATGTGCCAGGGAGTGGGCAGGCCCGTTTCCCTACTTTAGTAATCCATGCCTCTTGCTCTCCTGGTTATGTGAGCTTTAATCCTTTTGATGTTCAGTCTATTGGGTGACTTGAGAAACAAACTGTGACCTGCCTTTGGAAGTGCAGTGATTGTGAGATTTGATTGAGCTCTACATTGTCTGTGCCTTTGCCTTAAAAGGCACAATTATGTTCACGTGCTGCACTGTGCACAGCTGTCCTTGGGCTAGAATCGTTGCCTCTGCTGGCCGTCCTGGAGGTGCGAGATTGGGAAGCAAGAGTGATTGTCTGTGCCTAGGACGTGCACTCCCGCACAACCACCGTCCCCTGCAAACTGCCCTCCTACCGGCCAGTGTTCATGCCTTGGCTAACCTTGAGTTGGCACAATAAAAACAAAAAAGGTCTGTATTTGTGCACCCTTAAGAATTAGGCAGGGGTTCGTATTCTAACCCTGTTGCTCCATTCCTAGGAATCACCCTAAGGAATCAGAGGTCCATACAAATATCTATGCACAAGAATATCCTCACAGCACCATTTGTAATTGCAGTAACTGGAAGTGGCTAAACTTTCAACAGTAAGGATATTGGCTAAATATTATGGCATATTCCAGCTACAGAATAGCATTCTACCATGAAAAACCTCGTTCTCAAAGAGTATATGCTATAGGGACGGTAAATTCCTTAAAGTGCATTGTAAACAGAAAACTGCGAGATACAGAATATTGTGTGTAGTGAGTGCTGGGCTCAGTGCACAGAAAAGGGATGCAAAGGCTGTAAATTTGGTTTCTAACAGTGAGTCCTTCTGAATGGAGGGTTATAGGTCATTTTAATTTTTTTGTTTTTATTTTTTTGTTTAGATTTTCTATAGTGAGCATATATAAATTTTCACAATGCAAATAACAGGTAATACTTAGAAAAGAAAGCTTATCTATTTCTCCTGAAAAAGTGAGAAAGCATGTAGTTTTTGGCACGTCAGGAGGGCATTTAATGGGAGGGCAGTCTAGGGTGAGAGAGAGTTAGGAGGTGAGTCCCAGGGAGTGAATACTGGACAGGAGGAAAGTGGGTATGAGGCAGAGCGTCCTAAGCCTGACATTTCTGCAGACCCATTTAGAGGGCGTCTGTGGGCTCTATGAATTTGAGGGCAGCTGGGTCTGGCTGACAGAAGAGAGGCGGTGAGAGCGCCTGCTCCCACTGGGACACTGACACTCTCCATGGAAGCGCCCCGGGGTGCAGTTTCTCACGGTCTTGTATCATCAGAACAGCTCACACAGCACTCTGCATGTACGGGAGTTTATAACGGACTCCATTGAATGAGGCCTTAACATCCAGAAAAAAGGGCTCACACAAAATCCATAAAATCAGTCATGGGAACTCTCAGAATAGGCCTAAGTATTCTTTCGAAAGTGATGGAACATTCAGTGAGTTCCATGTGGCATTTTGGGTCTATGGCTTTCTGTTTTTGCTTCTTTTCCAAGTCACAACTTGATGTACCATTCTTGTAGCATGCAAAAGCATCAGCATGAAATATGTTTAATGCACAAACGACCCCAGACCTGTAACAATCACCATTATTATGTGGATTCCACAGACTTGTGACCTCTGCTTGGACTTTAAACCTGTATAAACAGACTATGCCAGCGTCTAGAACAAAAGTGTGTGTGTGCCTCTGTGTGTGTGTGTCTGTGTGGGTGGGTGTGGGTGTGTGCCCTTCTCCCCACCCCCAGCCCCAAAGATAGCAAAAGGAAAACCTCATTCTTATCAGAACACTGCTTGGTGGAGGTCTGCTTGCAGGGGCTCTAACTGATTTGCGGCTGTGATAGTGAGCAAGTCTTCAAGGAGCCTTTTGTTCCTTTCCCCACGATATAAAATGTGCCTGCATTCTGCTGAGAACTTTTCTCCATTCCTTTCATACAAGAAAAGGTCAGTTCCTGGCATGGTGCCCTAGCTACTTTGTGAGCAAGACAAGAGAAAGTCAAGAAAATTCCATTACGCCCATTTGGGTTTGTGTGGAGCAAAGTGTAAACCCAGACCTGGGTTGCCTCCACCGCCCTCCCTTGGGTGCTAATCTTCTCTTTGGGCGGGTTGCTTCCAAGTATCAAATACATCCTAGAACTATGTGTGTCCCAACTTTTTCTATCTCTCACCTTTTAAATGATACTTCCCAGGTAGAGGTGAAAGCAGTGCTTGGCCACCTCAGGAAGTTGCTCAGAAGTCCAACCCTCTCAGCCAGGGATCTGCAGGAAGCAGCTGGAGAGCGCCGAGGTAGAGACCTCAGGCCACCTGCCCATCAGTGGTTGATCAGGCACCTCCTCCTGAACTTCCTGCTCTGGGCTCCTGGATGCCACTTGATTGCCCGGGAAGTCATCAGTTCCGTAAGTGTCCCCTTATTAGGGTATTGAAATGCTGTCCACACATGGATGCACAGATAGTGAGGTAGACAGCTGGGATGGACCCCAGAGCCTGCCTTGCACAACACCATCATGTCACAGAAGAGAAAATGGAGGTTCAGAGAAAGGAGGTGGCATATCCCAGGCCACATGGCCTGCTGCCAGTGCCCATAGTAAAAGCTAGGTCCCGTGTCTCCCCACTGCTCTTCTTTCAGTCAATGCAGGATTCTCTTCCTCCTTGGGGAGAGAAACAGGATCACAGGGAGAATGTGCTTACTGAGCAGGTCAGAGAATTCTGTTCATTCATTACAAAGAAACTCTTCCCGAAGGCCAGCTGATGGGAGGGGTGAAGAACAGTTCATGGCGTTTGAGCAGTGAATTTTTGGAAAATGAGAATAGAAGCACAGACAACAAAAGAAATAATAGACAAATGGAATTTCATCAAAATTAAAAACTTCTGTGCATCAAAGACAACTCATGAAATGAAGGATACTTGGAAAGCACATACCTGATAAGGGTGTGGTATCTAAACGATATAGGGGATTCTTACAACTCAGCACAGAAAAACAACCCAATTCAAAAATAGGCAATGGATTTGAATAGACATTTCTCCAAAGAAGATGTACAAACAGCCAATAAGCACATGAAAAAGTGCCCAACATCATTAGCCATTAGGGAAATGTAAATCAAAACCACGCTGAGGTACCACTCCATACCCACCAAATGGCTGTTATCAACAAAGCATATCCCAAAGTGGAAACAATCCAAATGTCCATCAATAGGTGAATGGATAAACAAAATGTGCCCTACACACACAATAGACTGTTCAGCCTGAAAAATGACACTTGACATGTGCTGCAGCATGGATATACCTTCAGAGCATCATGCTAAGTGAAATAAGCCAGTCACAAAAGAACAAATATTATATGATTCCACTTACATAGGTACCTAGAATAGGCAAATTCATAGAGATAGAAAGTAGAATAGAGGTTATCTGGAGCTAAGGGAGGAAGGATGAGGAGTTAGTGTTTAATGGGCATGAGTTCCTGTTTGGGATAATGAAAAAGTTCTGGAAGTGGATAGTGGTGATGGTTGTACAATACTGTGAATGTACTTCATGCTACTGAATAGTATACTTAAAAATGGTTAAAATAGCAAATTTTATGTTTATTTTACTGTAATAAAAATGCTCATCAAAAAGTTTGTTTTTGCTTTTTATTGCCATAAATATACATAATGAAATATATACCTTGGTGAGTGTTCACAAACCAAAACACACATGCAACCAACAATTACTCAAGAACGGACTGTTCCAGCACCCTCTTAAAGGGTGCTGCACAAAGTTCCATGTGCAGCCATTCACCTTGGGCTCCAGCAGAGGGAGGGAAGAGTGGACTAAAGCAATGTGAGGAGAATCCAGGTTGTCAGCTCTGTAGATAGAGCTCAGAGGGCACCCAACTGGACTCCTGTGCTGAGTCATTCCCCCATAAGGCAGAGGATATCTTTCTCAGGCAGATATTTACTATCCAGGCAGCTTTTGCCTGGAGGGGGAAGCAGTTGCCCCACCTTGTTGGAAAACCTCTGGACCCACCCTACGGACNCAATGGGGAAAAAAAGGGATATGTGTAATACTTTCAACAGTAGAGATAAAACNCATTAGCCATTAGGGAAATGTAAATCAAAACCACGCTGAGGTACCACTCCATACCCACCAAATGGCTGTTATCAACAAAGCATATCCCAAAGTGGAAACAATCCAAATGTCCATCAATAGGTGAATGGATAAACAAAATGTGCCCTACACACACAATAGACTGTTCAGCCTGAAAAATGACACTTGACATGTGCTGCAGCATGGATATACCTTCAGAGCATCATGCTAAGTGAAATAAGCCAGTCACAAAAGAACAAATATTATATGATTCCACTTACATAGGTACCTAGAATAGGCAAATTCATAGAGATAGAAAGTAGAATAGAGGTTATCTGGAGCTAAGGGAGGAAGGATGAGGAGTTAGTGTTTAATGGGCATGAGTTCCTGTTTGGGATAATGAAAAAGTTCTGGAAGTGGATAGTGGTGATGGTTGTACAATACTGTGAATGTACTTCATGCTACTGAATAGTATACTTAAAAATGGTTAAAATAGCAAATTTTATGTTTATTTTACTGTAATAAAAATGCTCATCAAAAAGTTTGTTTTTGCTTTTTATTGCCATAAATATACATAATGAAATATATACCTTGGTGAGTGTTCACAAACCAAAACACACATGCAACCAACAATTACTCAAGAACGGACTGTTCCAGCACCCTCTTAAAGGGTGCTGCACAAAGTTCCATGTGCAGCCATTCACCTTGGGCTCCAGCAGAGGGAGGGAAGAGTGGACTAAAGCAATGTGAGGAGAATCCAGGTTGTCAGCTCTGTAGATAGAGCTCAGAGGGCACCCAACTGGACTCCTGTGCTGAGTCATTCCCCCATAAGGCAGAGGATATCTTTCTCAGGCAGATATTTACTATCCAGGCAGCTTTTGCCTGGAGGGGGAAGCAGTTGCCCCACCTTGTTGGAAAACCTCTGGACCCACCCTACGGACTTTCTATAGCCTGAGGCTCATTAAGAGACTGAATAACAATCAGCCTCTGGGTACTTTGAGTCTTTGCCTGACTTACTTCTGGACCCAGGGCTTGGAAAAGCAGACTTTGGTGTGCATCTTGGTCCTTTCCAGCCTCAGCAGAGGGAGCCACAACTGTGGATTGTAGAAAGCTTCAAATAGGGTTCTCAAGACCAGTCACATACAGCATCTGACATTGGCCTACACCAGAGACCATCCAATAGACTGGAAGTCTTAGCAGCTCTATATAATACATAGAAACAAGACCAAAAAGGCAGCCAAAATGGGGAGACAAAAACACAAGCCCCAAATGAAAGAAGAGAATTCTCCAGAAGAAGAGGTAAATGAAATGGAGATAAGAAATCTATCATATAGAGTTCAGAAGACTGATCACAAGGATGCTCAACAGCATGAGAAAAAATACAGAAACTGAAGGAAATTAAGAATGACATAGCAGAAATAAAGAATACATTGGAAGGATAAACAGCAGATTAGTGGAAGCTGAGGATTGGATCAGAGAATTAGAAGACATGGTAGAAAAATCACTCAATCAGAGATCAGAAAGAGGAAAAAAAACCAAAAAACAGGAGGACAGTTTAAGGGAGCTGCAGGACAATAAGAAATGTAACAATATTCGCATCATAGGAGTGCCAGAAGAGGTCTAAAGTAAGCAAGGATTAGAGAACCTGTTTGAAGAAATAATGGCAGAAAACTTCCCTAACCTGGTAAAGGAAAAGTCACACAAGTTCAGGAGGCATAGAGAGTCCCAAGCAAGAAGAATCCAAAGAGGCCCACACCCAGACACATAATTAAAATGCCAAATATTCAAGACAAAGAATCTTAAAGCCAGCAAGAGAAAAGCAATCTGTTACCTACAAAGGAGCTTCCATAAGGCTGTCAGATGATTTCTCATTAGAAACTGAAGGACACAAGGTATGAAGTATTTAAGGTAAAAGCTAGGATCTGAAACCAAGACTACTCTATCCAGCAAGGCTATCATTCAAAGTAGATGGTGAAATAAACAGCTTCCCAGACAAAAAAAGGCTAAAGGAGTTTATCACCACCAAACCATCATTGCAGGACATGTTAAAGGGACTGCTGTAAGAAGAACTAGAAATAGAGAAACATAGGCATAAAGAATTAGAATGGCAATAGATAAGTAGATACCAATAATAACCTTAAATGTAAGTGAATTAAATGCTCTCATCAATAGGCATAGAGTAGCTGAATGGATAAGAAAACAGGACCCATATATATGCTGTTTACAAGAGACCCACCTCAGAACAAAAGACTCACACAGGGTGAAAAAATACTTGTGGAGGAATTTAAGGGAGAGGTGGACAGCAATACAGTCATAGTAGGGACTTTAATACCCCACTGAGTTTACTGAATAGATCTTTCAGACAAAAAATCAGCAAGGAAACTGTGACTCTAAATGACACACTAGATCAGATGGATTTAATTGACATTTACAGAACATTTCACCCCAAAGCTGCAAAACATACATTCTCCTTAAGTGCACATGGGACATCCTCAAAGACAAACCACATGTTAGGACACAAAACAAGTCTCTGCAAGTTCCAGAAGACTGAAATCATATCAGGCATCTTCTCAGACATTTACACCATGGAATACTATGCAGCTGTAAAAAAGAAGGATCCCTTACCCTATGAGACAGCATGTTGGGACCTGGAGAGTATTATGCTAAGCGAAATAAGCCAGTCAGAGAAAGACAAGTGTCATAGGATCTTACTCATATATGGAATCTAATGAACAAAATAAATCAATGAACAAAATAGATCCAGAGACATAGACGCATGGAATAGACTGACAAATCTCAGGAGGAAGGCAGGGGTGGGTGGGGAAAAATTAACCTAAGAACTTATACGCATATACCCATAATCCATGGACACAAACAATAGTGTGGTGAAGGCCTAGAGGGGTGTGGGGTGCAGGGTGGAAGGAATCAATGGGGAAAAAAAGGGATATGTGTAATACTTTCAACAGTAGAGATAAACAAACAAAAAGGACTGTTCCCAGCACCCAGAGGCCCCTGCTCCTTTCCAGGGAAGTCTCTGTTTGAATGTGAATGTGAATATGAGGAAGNGCCGAGGTAGAGACCTCAGGCCACCTGCCCATCAGTGGTTGATCAGGCACCTCCTCCTGAACTTCCTGCTCTGGGCTCCTGGATGCCACTTGATTGCCCGGGAAGTCATCAGTTCCGTAAGTGTCCCCTTATTAGGGTATTGAAATGCTGTCCACACATGGATGCACAGATAGTGAGGTAGACAGCTGGGATGGACCCCAGAGCCTGCCTTGCACAACACCATCATGTCACAGAAGAGAAAATGGAGGTTCAGAGAAAGGAGGTGGCATATCCCAGGCCACATGGCCTGCTGCCAGTGCCCATAGTAAAAGCTAGGTCCCGTGTCTCCCCACTGCTCTTCTTTCAGTCAATGCAGGATTCTCTTCCTCCTTGGGGAGAGAAACAGGATCACAGGGAGAATGTGCTTACTGAGCAGGTCAGAGAATTCTGTTCATTCATTACAAAGAAACTCTTCCCGAAGGCCAGCTGATGGGAGGGGTGAAGAACAGTTCATGGCGTTTGAGCAGTGAATTTTTGGAAAATGAGAATAGAAGCACAGACAACAAAAGAAATAATAGACAAATGGAATTTCATCAAAATTAAAAACTTCTGTGCATCAAAGACAACTCATGAAATGAAGGATACTTGGAAAGCACATACCTGATAAGGGTGTGGTATCTAAACGATATAGGGGATTCTTACAACTCAGCACAGAAAAACAACCCAATTCAAAAATAGGCAATGGATTTGAATAGACATTTCTCCAAAGAAGATGTACAAACAGCCAATAAGCACATGAAAAAGTGCAGGGTGGAAGGAATCAATGGGGAAAAAAAGGGATATGTGTAATACTTTCAACAGTAGAGATAAAACAAACAAACAAAAAGGACTGTTCCCAGCACCCAGAGGCCCCTGCTCCTTTCCAGGGAAGTCTCTGTTTGAATGTGAATGTGAATATGAGGAAGGTCCCAATGAAAAATGGACCACCAGGAACCTGAGAAACCAGTGCCCAGAAGGCTCTCTGCAAACCTGTAAAACGCCGTGTGCAGCGGGCAGGTCCATTTCTCAGGAGCTCAGACAGATGCCATCCAGAGCTTGGGCATGGCCAAGAGCAGCAGCAGATGTGCTTGTCGTGTGCGGGGTGCATCTCCTCGGGTGATTCCAACACAGTGACCTATTATGTACTTTTATAAAATGCACACCTCACTTACTTCCAGCCCACTTGGCGTACAACTCCACTGGTGAGAGCTCGGTACCGCCCACTTCACCTCTGGCCAGGTGTAAGTTGTAATGGTCACTTTTCAGCCGCTCCCTACTCAGGTGACCAAGGTCAACATCTATAAGGATAAGTTGTGTGACAGTGTGCATCCTTGATGCAACTTGGCCTAATTATGAGAAAACACCAGCAAGCCCCTGACCAGTGCTCCTCACAGCTGTCCAGACCGCCAAGGGCAAGGGAAGTCTGAGGAACTCACAGCCATGGGGACCTAAGGAGACATGGTGCCTGAATGGCATGTGGTACCTTGGATGGGATCCCGGAACAAAAGAAGGACATCAGGAGAAGCAGAGAAAATCTGAATAAAGTATAGATTTTAGTTAATAGAAATGTATCAATATTGGTTCATTAATTCTCAGAAATGTCCCATGTTGATAAAAGATGTTAATAACTGGAAGACTGGGTGTGGGGATGTGTGATCTCTCTGTATTATCTTTTCGGTAAAATTATACATCTAAAGCTGTTCTAAAATTGTTATTTTAAAGTCACCAACAGGCACTTTTAAATCATGAGTGTTGGCAGCAGTTTTGTCACCTGACCTCTAACAGCCAGCCTGTGCTCTGGACACCTGCGGAGCCTGCCCCCTCCTCCACCCTGGGGACCGGCTGCCGGCTGCCCCTCTCCTGCACTGGCACCCGGCACCCTGGGCATGGAAAGGCAGGCCAGGGAGACCACAGCCAGCCTGCCCATGGGTGAGAGGACATATCCCAGAGGGAGCTCCTCAGAGACACCAGGTCCTGCTTTAGTCATCCCGACACATTGCTAACTGTTCCCAGCACCCAGTCCACATTCTGGACGGGCTGCCCTCAGGTCTCCCCCACAGTGCAGTCCCGAGAATGAGGAACCGGGGTCCTGTCAGAGTCCAGGTCAGCTGCATGTGCCAGGCACCCGTCCCACAGAACAGCTCAGTCCTTGCTGGGTACTAACGCCTGAGGCTGGGGGGGCACGGAAAACCCGGTGCATCTTCCCTACATGTTACAAGCAAGCTCAGCCGAAGACATCTCACAGCGGGTAAAATGCCAGTGTTCTCTGCACACGCTGGCCCCTTGGCAGGGGGGTGCTAGCCGTGCTCATGGAGCCCGTCGCACAGCGCCTCCGGGGTGCTGCCCTTGGAGATGCTCTGAAGCTGTTCTTGCTGACACCAGCCTCCTAACTCGAAGGCTTCCTGCTGTGGCCACACCACAGGCTGGGGCAGCTACAAGCAGGAGGGTGGAGGAGCCCTCACACGGTGCCAGCCTCCCCGGGGCTGCTCACCTTCCACCACCTTGCCTGTTCCTCTCTGAGAGCACCCTGAAAAGAGTCCTGAGCCAGCTCTGCCTGGCCTGTGAGCAGGTGGAGGCCAGACGGTGGGGGTCTTAGCTTTGGTGGGACAGCCTTTCTCTGCCAGTGGCTCTGGCTTCACCACCATGGCATCCAGGCCCTGGCCCAACTCTGGTATGAACTCAGGCCCAGGCAGAGCCAGCTCCTGGGTCCTGGTCCTGTCCCTCTTGTCCTGGCATTAGCTGTGGAGAGCCGTGCACGCTCCAGGCTGGGGGCACACACCAGGGGCTGTGTGTCGGAGCCGTGTCTCTCCACAGCCCTCCACACCACTGAGGGGTCCTGCCTTACTGAGTAGCTCAGTTTCATCCAGGGTGCCCTGTGCCCCCATCTCCTCCTGTCGTCTCCCACGAGCCTCTTCTATAGGGTGTTCCCAGCCTGCTGCTTCCTCAGGCTTTTCACACAGGCCCCAGGGATCATTTCTGCAGACCTTGAGCTTCTGAGAGTTTCCACCAACCTCGTTCATCAGAACCCGCGTGCCTTCTGCTGCTGTGCTCCCCTCTCCTTGTCCCACCTTCACTGTGCCCCCTGCTCTGCACCTCTGGCAGGGATGAGGCGAGAGCAACCTGGCTGGTGTCCAGGTCCCTGCACCCGAGGCTCACCTTCTCTGCCTCCTGTCCTGCTCTGAGCTCATGCTTCACTCTCCCGCTCCTCTGTCTTTGGTTGCTGGACCAAAAATAATAGCCAAAAGTTAGCTAGAATCTGAAATAGGGCGTTCAATTCTATAGTTGCTAAATTCAGAATGAACTTAACCCCGATACTGGCTGCCTCATTCATCTTGCAGGGGTCCGAGTTTCTGATTCCCGCTGCAGGGAGGCAGGTTTTGTATGTGACTAGAGACCTTGGCTGGACCAGGGTTGGAGTTGGCTGGCTTGTAAAGATGGTGCACAGTCAGCTCGGTCACCTCTGCTGTAAGAGCTATGCCACCCCACCTCCATGTGGGGAGCCTGGGATCACTGGGCAATGGAGCGGGAGGTGGTCTTCCCTACTCAGGATCTAGGTGGTAGCTGAGCACAGGACAGACCCTGCCTCTGACGAAAGTCATCTACAGCACCTGTGATTTCTGAGTAAAAGTCACGTGATGACAGCAGAGATACCAAGAGCCACAATGAGCTGCTCCCAAGTTGGCAGCCTGCCCCTCCGACCTCCAGCAGCCTGCCAGTGGCCGACGCTGTGGTGCCCCCACTTCCTGAACTGAGCTCGCCGAGCACGCCTGCTCTCGGAGTGTCTGCCCTGACTGGTGATAGTCAGAGGTGGGCTTCCTGGGCCCTGGGACAGTCCCCGGTACACCAGCTGGGCACCTTCCAGAAGGCCCAGTGTTGGAGATGAAGCTGTCCCTGGGGCTGCTGTGGCTACATAGACATTTGAGTGAGGGCTCAATATAAACTGACACCCACAAATAAATACGTAGATGACTAAAAAACGGACAGCTGCTTATTGTGGGTTGTGTCAAAAAAATCACAGTAAATTCTTTGTGCAGCTAAATTATGAGATTCTTCCCCTTCCCTTTTTGCTAAACTGATGTTCTTAGGAAAATTCTTACAGGCACCAACTCAGACCCTTGAGGCTGTATTTAGCAGAACTAAATTCCTGCGCTTCTGCTTCCCTTGAGAATCAGGTGTTCAAACCTTAGATGCCTTTAAAAGACAAGTGGGCTGGTTGCTGGCCCAAGAATGCCACTTATAAACTGTCCGGTGAAAACAGGTGGCATTTTCCTTACAGCATTTCCGGATTCTCATGCTAGTGTGAGCCTTTGCAGAAAGTCAGGCCCCAGCTCTTCTGGTCCACATGCCTTTGCTCTGCACAGCAAGTAACCCCAGAGCTGTACCGACCGGCGTTCCAGGAACCGAGGTGCGCATGCCATCTGCCAGGAGAGGGTGCGATGAGGCAGGGACTGCTCACTGGATGGCCAGCCTCGAGAAAAACATGCTGTGCTAGTCCCCTAGAAGACAAGGCAAGCTCACTTTGGAGCTGACAAGAGCATGGCTGCTCTTCTGGGACAGGATGGGTACAGGTGGCCCACTGGACAGAGATGGACCTGTTCAAGAAGGGTTTTAATTTGACTTCTCTCGTCCTCTTGCAGATGGCTCACACTGATGAGATAACCCATGAGATCATTGGCTTTTTTGACCAGACCTTGTACAGATGGGATCGTCTTCGCATGGAAGCCCCGACATCGAGAGAACTGGCCAGAGAGCTCCTTACAGAGCTGCGCACAAGCCTAGCACAGGCCCACTGAGGTGGGCGGGCACAGGCTCGCTGGGCCACGGGAGGAAGCGGTGGGCTTTTCTGTCAAATGGGCACCCTCTGTGAGTAGTAACAATAAGCCATATCTTGGCAAGATCTGATAGTACATATTCTACAAAATGAGACGGGATCTTTCTCCCAAACTCAGTCAAATTAATCACTAATGACTGCGTTTTATGCCTTTAGCATTCTCTCTACCAGCTCAGCCAGATGCCAGTTAGAGAATCACTATGGAAAGGCTCAGATGGGAGAACTGGTTTTTATTTGTTTTTTTCCTTATCAAACCAAGGTGCATAACTATTATTTGAATGTTTCAAAGTTTCTGGACCAAGAAATTGGTCATGAACCATTGGTCAGTTTAGCAAGTAACTGAGCCCTTTTCCACGGATCTCTTTTTAGAAGTCAGGTAATTTTTACTGGTGCTTCTTTGAATCTACAGGGATTTGAGATGAAGCCACACTTTCTTGCTTATGTAGGAAGTTCTCTAGCAAGGAAAGTTTCCCTGGGCACCCCCTGGGCAAGCCAAGGGGAAGGAGGCAGGTAAAGACAGGGCCCACTGGTCAGTGGTGGGCACATGCTGCTGTGGAGACAACACTGCCTGGCAACAGAGGTAACAGCAGCTCTGGTGCTGACGCTCTGCTTCACGTTTGCTGAGCACTGACTGCTACCAAAGAGCCCCTGCTGCCTCACAGATGGCAGACAGGAGGGGCCAGGACATGTTCTAGAGACATCGAGAAAGGTTATGTCAGTGTCTTGTTAAGGGAAATGGAAATTTCTAATAAAGAATTGGTAACTCAGAGGCTAATACTTCACATCAGTTGAAGATTTTTTTTCTTTTCAGAGTTATTCTTAACTTACATTGACTGTATGCTCTTTTCTGTATATTCTGTTTATTGAGTGAGTCAAGACTTTCTTCTGTGTCCACTCTGATTTAGGTGTTAGTAACCTCGGAATCCCCTGCAGTCTTGGCTCCTATTTGAGGTACTGATGGCACAGGTAGCTAGGTATTAATAAGTGGAGGGAGCAGAGGAAATCCGACCTTATAAAGTGTGATCCTGCTTTCCTAGGAGGATGCAGCATCATAGGTGCCCCGGGGGTCGCAGCATTGCCCCACACCCTTCCCCTCCCTGGACAGGGGGGAGGGACGGACTTCTCAATGTCCCCACCTACTGCCCAGACTGGGGGGGGAGGTAAGCACATGCGCAGTGGGAGCCGAGATGGTGACCAGAGAGCCTGTCTGTCTAGCCTGGGAAAGGGATCAGACTGGACAGGAGACACAGAACCCCGAGAGATCTAGGAAACGGACTGGTTAGAAGGCAGGCCCAGCGCAAGTCCGTGAAAGCTTGGGAAGTTGATTGGTTATTTTGAAAAAGCTCCTGGTCCTTCCCAAGCCCAAGGTAATATAATCCCAGCTAACAGAGCTCTC